AAGAGTGACAGATTCTTTGAGATGGAAGAGTTCAATTTGCAGCTCGAAGTAAGCAAACCTCCTTCTGCTCCTTGACAAAGTCCAATCAAGAGACCATCTATCCCCACTTGATGGGGCTACTCTGCCCCTATAGCAGACTCGCCTGCCTTTTGTCATTGGTTTGTGGTACTAGATGACTTTCTCTTTGGTTGAGCCGATGAATGTTACTCTCCGAAAGTTCTAGTTTGTGTTTTCAAGACCTGTCCATATGCTTCTTCATGTGCTGGCTTTACAAATAACTCAAGACAGCTATGGGGCACTACTTTACCACATAAAGTTGAAAGAGAAGATGTAGCCTCTTAGAATCTCCAAGTCAAGTCCTCTGTGGTCTGTGTTCCACTGCACGTGGTGAATGCCTCTTTCAGCCTTTGACATGTTGGGTCTATTTCTGTACCGATGGTCACCTAGTATTTTTACTGAGTAGCTCCTTTCTGCCAGACATTGTAGTAAAAAAATTCACGAGATTGTCTGCTTAATCCTCATTCCAATTCCCTTAGGTAGAGCTGCACCCTCTTCACAGGTCAGAAAATAAATGCTCCGAAAGAGGAAACTGCTTCCCCTCTCTGTCCGTTTTCATATCTATGTAATGTAGCTGTGAATACTGCCCTTGTCAAGCAAATAAGGAGAGTCAGTAAGTGAAATGTACTGTTGCGCATAGTAAGTGTGCAATAAATGAGAGCTGTATTTATCGTAATAATCCATTCATGGTCTGCCTATCCCACTTTTGGTGACGATGATGATATTAATAGCATTTATCTAATGCAAACTACATCCAAGACAGTGTCAAGAATTTAATGTGTGTCATCTTCTCTAATCCCTTTAATTTAGGAGACTGGCACCACTAAGTTTCCTGTGTAATTGAAGAGGAAATGGAGGCCAGAAGTAAAATTACTTACTTGCTTGTCACAATAGCCATAGATGGCAGAGCTGGGATTGAAACTGTTTGGTTTGGCTCCTGAGCCCCCACTCCCAAATGCACTCTCTTCCACTTCTTCTTTATTGACTTAGACTCCGTTAAACCCCTTGTTTCTAAGGGCTGGATACTGAGAATCCCATCAGGATGCTGAATGGTAAATTGAGGGAGTGGGGTGCATCACCATTTGTGGCATGTCAGTAAGTGGCAGATTTACACATGCAAACAAAGAGCCCCAAATGAGTTGGAAGTTAAGAAAGCACCCAGTAGAATGTGGTTTGGGAGGCCATGGCACTGCCAAAAGTAGATTTGGGGTTATGGTGAGGTCATGAAACCCCCTCTATCCCCTGCCAGAGTATGGGGTGAATATAATCTAGGAATTTGGGGGCAGGAAATTGTGATTATTTGAGTCAGTTAACTTGAATGAGGGCTGCTTCTCTTTTTCCTCCACACCTCCCTTTCATCTCAGTGTCTCTTGGAAAATTCTCACTCTTACAAACATAAATATTTACTTGATTTGGTGCAAAAATAAGAGAATAATCCCAGGACCCTTGAGGCTAGCATACACCCTGAGAGGTCATTCCTGATGTGATTCAGGCCTTGCTAGCCTCTCTGTCTCTGTCTCGTTCTCTGCAGTGATCCGGGCCAAGGTGGTGGGAAAGAAGCTGGTGAAGGAAGGGCCCTTTGGCACTCTGGTCTACACCGTCAAGCAGATGAAGGTGAGTGAAATCATCAGCCTGGCTCCAGAAGGGCTTCTGGGTTTTTGCCATGTGAATCCTGGCCATGGGAGGCAAAGTAGGTTGGAACTGGTGTACGTGTTTTTTTAGTGTTGAAGCCCTAGTCAGCCCTAGCTCTCATGCCTTGCTGGACAGGGAGCTGCTGAGGCAGTCGAAATGGATGGGTGAGGAATAGAGCTGGTGGCTGCTTCATTCCAGAACCAGTGCAGGTGGAGTCACTTGGGGCACTTGGTAGGAGGCTGGACCAGAGAGCAGGTAGTGTTGTTACCTGATATCTATGGGACCTTGGGCAAGTCACTGACCCTCTCTAGGCTTTAGTTTTTCCTCAATTATAAATTGAGGGTTTGGATGAGAAGGTCTCCAGGGACTCTTCCAAGCTCTGACTTGCTGGGATTCAGTAATGCTTAAGTGGTTGTTGAGGTAATTACTTAAGTGTACACCCTTCAGATCTTTACACTAAACCTGTGCTGATCACAGGAGCCTTGTTCCAATGTAGGAGCTGCATTCACTTTCTCTATTTTTTTCAGCTCTAGTTATCTTCCTGTGTCCCAGGTAGTTAGCAACATTTACTATGTACATTCATATTGTGAAGCATTTTGCTGAGCACATGAACATAATGAAGCACTTAAGGAAGTCTGCATTAAGATAAAGATATTAGATTCGAAACCTAACAGTTTGTTCATTTTGGACTCAGTCCTTTTCCTGGGCCTCATCTCTTAAATGTATAGATGGGCTTGAAGTTGTGCTTAGTGCTAAGAGCCCTCCCAGTCCAGGTGTTCTGTGCACCCTGGGGTACTGGCAGTGGCAGTGCAACTTCAGAACAGGAGCCGATAGTGGAAGGGGGTTTATCTCAGCACAAGGATTGGGGCTTCATTTCACACAACTCAGCAACTGGTCCATCACCCACTTCTGTAAGCACCTCCCTATGTGTGAGCTCTATGCAGAGCTAGGGGGCCCAAGAGCCCACGATGGATATGCAGTTTCTCCCTTTAGGAACTAAGGTCAGATTGGGAGAAAGACAGGTGCATGATTGGTTAGAAGTTCCAGGTGGGATGTGCTCAAGACCAAGTAAATGGCAACCCTTCTCATCTCTGCATCCCCAGCACTTAGGGTGGGACATGGCATACAACAGGGTCTTAGTGAGTGCTTATCCACCTCATCAGGGCATGAGGGTGAGACTCTCCCAAGGGGGTAAGCCTTCATGCTCAGGTACAAAGGAGTGGGGGAGTACAGACCACAGGTGGTACCCAACCATCCAGGAGGTCGACTTCCAGGCCTCATTATTCCAGTGTCCTGGGCCTGAGGCTAAATGTACTAATTTTGTGGAACCTGTTGCTTTGGATTCAATTTTGGAAACAGCCACAGCCTTCTGGTTATGTAATGTCCAGAGTCAGCCCTGGCCAGCTTCCCTTGGCTGCCTAAGCTTGGTCATGAGACCAGTTTATGTCTTCAGACTGCCCCAGGGAGAGAAGAGTGGGCGGAGGTGGGGAACCAGCAAGAGCAACAACAACCCCTTAAACCCACTTTGCAACCTCTGGCAGCTGGTGAAGGAATGCCAAAGCATATTAGACCAAAGCAGAGGTTCAGAAAACACATTCGCTTGCCTGCTCTGGAACAATCCTCATTATGAGACACTCCATAGCCGGCAGAGCGCTGGGAGGCACTAGTTTCTAAGCTTGCTTATCTTGCTTCTTGCCTTCAGGGCCTGGACACCAGGTGGCCAGAGGCCCCTCCTGTGGGCGGAATGTCCCATTTTCCCCTCCCTGGTCAGACCAGCCACCGGGGGTGACTTAGAGGCCAAATAAAATTTGCCGGCCCATCAGCTTCAGAGCATGACCCTCCACCCCAGGCCAGGGTGTAAACTTTCCAGGCACCATCCCTGACCTAGGTACACGGAATCAGAGTGCTTGCTTGTTTAAAATCACTCATTTTACTTCTGACAGAGACTCAAAGGGGCGATGACTTGCCCAGAGTCATGTATTTAATATTTAATTCAGAGCAGATCTGGTTCCCAAGTTGAGGGATTGGCATTCCTTCCCAATCCTTTTTTTTTTTTTGGTCAGGGAGTACATGTGCTTACCAGAGAGAAACGGAAACCAGTAGGGGAGAGGGAGAGAGTGAGAACACCCCAATGATCGTACTATAATTCCTTTCTCCATCTTTTGGGATTTGGGGCATGTATCATGTGTCCAGTGTAGTTTTCAAGTTGCTGGGGCTGGGATTCAAACTGTATGGTTGGCAGTGTGGGATCTGGCTCCCTTAACCACCAGGCCATGGAAGAGGTCCCTCATCCTGTGTTCTTTACATGACTCCTGAAATCTCTCTACCATTCTACTTCAATCATCATTCATATTCTAATGCTTATTTTTAAAATTCATGATAGAGTGTGTGTGTGCACACATATGTGAGTGACAGATTCTTTGAGATGGAAGAGTTCAATTTGCAGCTCGAAGTAAGCAAACCTCCTTCTGCTCCTTGACAAAGTCCAATCAAGAGACCATCTATCCCCACTTGATGGGGCTACTCTGCCCCTATAGCAGACTCGCCTGCCTTTTGTCATTGGTTTGTGGTACTAGATGACTTTCTCTTTGGTTGAGCCGATGAATGTTACTCTCCGAAAGTTCTAGTTTTTGTTTTCAAGACCTGTCCATATGCTTCTTCATGTGCTGGCTTTACAAATAACTCAAGACAGCTATGGGGCACTACTTTACCACATAAAGTTGAAAGAGAAGATGTAGCCTCTTAGAATCTCCAAGTCAAGTCCTCTGTGGTCTGTGTTCCACTGCACGTGGTGAATGCCTCTTTCAGCCTTTGACATGTTGGGTCTATTTCTGTACCGATGGTCACCTAGTATTTTTACTGAGTAGCTCCTTTCTGCCAGACATTGTAGTAAAAAAATTCACGAGATTGTCTGCTTAATCCTCATTCCAATTCCCTTAGGTAGAGCTGCACCCTCTTCACAGGTCAGAAAATAAATGCTCCGAAAGAGGAAACTGCTTCCCCTCTCTGTCCGTTTTCATATCTATGTAATGTAGCTGTGAATACTGCCCTTGTCAAGCAAATAAGGAGAGTCAGTAAGTGAAATGTACTGTTGCGCATAGTAAGTGTGCAATAAATGAGAGCTGTATTTATCGTAATAATCCATTCATGGTCTGCCTATCCCACTTTTGGTGACGATGATGATATTAATAGCATTTATCTAATGCAAACTACATCCAAGACAGTGTCAAGAATTTAATGTGTGTCATCTTCTCTAATCCCTTTAATTTAGGAGACTGGCACCACTAAGTTTCCTGTGTAATTGAAGAGGAAATGGAGGCCAGAAGTAAAATTACTTACTTGCTTGTCACAATAGCCATAGATGGCAGAGCTGGGATTGAAACTGTTTGGTTTGGCTCCTGAGCCCCCACTCCCAAATGCACTCTCTTCCACTTCTTCTTTATTGACTTAGACTCCGTTAAACCCCTTGTTTCTAAGGGCTGGATACTGAGAATCCCATCAGGATGCTGAATGGTAAATTGAGGGAGTGGGGTGCATCACCATTTGTGGCATGTCAGTAAGTGGCAGATTTACACATGCAAACAAAGAGCCCCAAATGAGTTGGAAGTTAAGAAAGCACCCAGTAGAATGTGGTTTGGGAGGCCATGGCACTGCCAAAAGTAGATTTGGGGTTATGGTGAGGTCATGAAACCCCCTCTATCCCCTGCCAGAGTATGGGGTGAATATAATCTAGGAATTTGGGGGCAGGAAATTGTGATTATTTGAGTCAGTTAACTTGAATGAGGGCTGCTTCTCTTTTTCCTCCACACCTCCCTTTCATCTCAGTGTCTCTTGGAAAATTCTCACTCTTACAAACATAAATATTTACTTGATTTGGTGCAAAAATAAGAGAATAATCCCAGGACCCTTGAGGCTAGCATACACCCTGAGAGGTCATTCCTGATGTGATTCAGGCCTTGCTAGCCTCTCTGTCTCTGTCTCGTTCTCTGCAGTGATCCGGGCCAAGGTGGTGGGAAAGAAGCTGGTGAAGGAAGGGCCCTTTGGCACTCTGGTCTACACCGTCAAGCAGATGAAGGTGAGTGAAATCATCAGCCTGGCTCCAGAAGGGCTTCTGGGTTTTTGCCATGTGAATCCTGGCCATGGGAGGCAAAGTAGGTTGGAACTGGTGTACGTGTTTTTTTAGTGTTGAAGCCCTAGTCAGCCCTAGCTCTCATGCCTTGCTGGACAGGGAGCTGCTGAGGCAGTCGAAATGGATGGGTGAGGAATAGAGCTGGTGGCTGCTTCATTCCAGAACCAGTGCAGGTGGAGTCACTTGGGGCACTTGGTAGGAGGCTGGACCAGAGAGCAGGTAGTGTTGTTACCTGATATCTATGGGACCTTGGGCAAGTCACTGACCCTCTCTAGGCTTTAGTTTTTCCTCAATTATAAATTGAGGGTTTGGATGAGAAGGTCTCCAGGGACTCTTCCAAGCTCTGACTTGCTGGGATTCAGTAATGCTTAAGTGGTTGTTGAGGTAATTACTTAAGTGTACACCCTTCAGATCTTTACACTAAACCTGTGCTGATCACAGGAGCCTTGTTCCAATGTAGGAGCTGCATTCACTTTCTCTATTTTTTTCAGCTCTAGTTATCTTCCTGTGTCCCAGGTAGTTAGCAACATTTACTATGTACATTCATATTGTGAAGCATTTTGCTGAGCACATGAACATAATGAAGCACTTAAGGAAGTCTGCATTAAGATAAAGATATTAGATTCGAAACCTAACAGTTTGTTCATTTTGGACTCAGTCCTTTTCCTGGGCCTCATCTCTTAAATGTATAGATGGGCTTGAAGTTGTGCTTAGTGCTAAGAGCCCTCCCAGTCCAGGTGTTCTGTGCACCCTGGGGTACTGGCAGTGGCAGTGCAACTTCAGAACAGGAGCCGATAGTGGAAGGGGGTTTATCTCAGCACAAGGATTGGGGCTTCATTTCACACAACTCAGC